CTTGATTCCTTACTCTCCACTTTCTGAACATGTCTTCAACGTCAGAAACAGGTCCTCCCATTCTTTCAACAATAAGCTTGGCAATTTTTTGAACCAGAAGTCTAGTATTCAAGGTCCTGTCCAAAGCATGGTAATTCATGGACATAAAATGCACTCTTTCCTCAAGTTTCCGAAGTTCCATATCAAGTGCACGATTCACTAAAACAACCTCACAACCAATGTGATCCAAGGCAGAATTTGCTTCCAGTTCAGCTAGTGATGGCATTTTCGTTAGGACCACCGAATTTGAATCTACTCCACAAACATCATAGAACCCGTCCACTACTTTCTCATCATAATTCACAGCATTACAGCTCTGCATCACAAAAAAAAAAAGACAGTGGAATTTTTATCAATCATTTAAATATATATGATATACGATGCACAAAGCACCTATAATTTTTCTCTTTTTAACCACCATTTAGGTGGAAGGACTGCATATAGAGAAAGCAGTGCTACATCTAATAACCAAAAAATGAGTGCCACCTGTGTATCAGATGAATGAGTACCTCAAATACGGCTGTCATGGAGAAGGATTTCAACACGTTTAATGGTCAAGTAAAAGTTACTCTTCATTTCCAAACGAAAGCATTCAACTTACTTAACAAGCACTTTTAGCACTTGGAACTGTGGTTTTATTGCTGATGAACAATGAATGATATTAGTGTTTGATTGTTTATTATAGTCTGATATGATTTATAAATTCTGTTTTGGTTTTAGAATGAACAAAATTACATTACATGCTTAATGTTTTCTAACTGCAACTGCCTTGCATGGATTACCAAACATCAACTACACAGTTGGTAGCGGGAAATTAATGACTATGACTCCACCATCACAAAAATGTAGTATTTTTCGAACAAACTTCTATTATAAAGGTCTCATAACCGGTAATAATATATTTTATCTACAACTCTATATGCACAAATGTAATGATATATTCACCTTTGATCACCTTTTATATGCAAGAATATTGTTCTCGCTAATAAAATATACTATTTATAGATACAATGAATCTGTGAAGTTAGTTGGGATTATGCATGAATACGGTAGCATCTTAACGACACGTGTTCTTCTTTAGTCACATGGAATAACCCGCCCACCGCTACTCGAAAAGAAACAAACGTGCATGCATCTATTAATCGGGATACCTACACGTGGATTTGTAAATAAACAGGTAAAACGAATGCAGAAACTATCTTCATCATGTACATTGTAAAATGATTTTACTAAAGTATGTTCACGATGACATTATGTCTATCAAATGGCTCATTTAGCAAGAACCGCTAAAATATGGATAAAAAAGTGGAAACGAATCGCCGGAACTATAGACCATTAGTGCAATATTTTCAGAACCTATTTATGGGACTTCAAAATTTTCGACTAAACATGATGCTATTGCTGGCCATCCAAACAATACACTACAGTGAGAGTAAAGAATAAATAAAATCAACAAAATTAATTTGAGTATCACATAATCCATTAGAAACATTCGCCTGCCAAAATAGAACTTTGAACTGAACAAGACATTAAGTATAGTAAAATCAAACCTAAAATCAACAAGAAATTAAGAAGAAAAAAACAAAAAAACTTACCCAATATCGGAGCGACATAAACTCAGAGGGCTTCTGGGAAGGGGAGCAGCCGAGGCTAATCTGCTTTGCCGCATTAATTTGAGCGGTCTCCGGGTCAACGCGGCTCTGACCCGGATCCGATACGCTAATCGCCATCGCCAGCTGCATTTGGAACTCCTCCTCGAAGAAATTGAAGCTGCCGCCGCTCGAGCTAGTCCCGTTTTCCGTCGCCACTTGAGCCGAATCAGACGGCGACGGCAAAGAGGTGGCCGGCGGCTGTGGCGCCGGTGGAGAATCTGTCCGAGGTGAAGGATCGAGCGCGGCCGGAGGCCTCAGATGGTGATCGCCGATGTGAAGCTTGCGCAGAAAGTGTTTCACCTTGGACATTTTCGGCGTCTCTCATCGATCGGCGAAACCAAAAAAAAAAAAAAAAAAACTGATAATTCACACTGTACAGAAAATTTCAGCCAGGGGAAGATGATAAACCACTACTGTTCTTCCTCTTGAATCGAATGAATTGCAGATTGAGGTAGGGTTTATTTGGGTTGGGGAAATTGAGGGGGATGCGGAGCGGTGGGTGGAAAAAATCCGGTCTTTAAACCTGCTGCGCCGTATGAGTCTTCGTCGTCAAGCTTAGACACGCACAGTGGGTGAATAAATTAACTGCTGCCTGGTTGCTTCCCTCCAAGATCTCAAGTACTCCTACAAATACAATTGTATAAAATAATATAATGTCTAAAGTCCCACTCGAATTTTGATACTTAATAATAGTTCAAATCTAGTTTAATTCGACTTGTTTTCTGATACGGAATTATTCCGTCGAGATTTGTAACCGTTAAATCATGTAATCGTTAGAGATAGTTAATCTAACAGTTTCAAATCTCGACGTAATATTTTCGAGACCGTAGCATATCTCCAAACTTATATTAATAAATCAAATTTAATTATTGACAAACTGATTTTAACCATTAACGAACAGAGTTAAGAGAATAATTAGTGGTTAAACAAAAAATTTACATAATCAGTGGTCAATAAGAAGGAATGTTCAAGTAGCCATTAGTTTAGAACTTGATTTTAGTTCTATAATTATATTTTAAATTTTTATAGTTGCTAAAATGTTTTTAGCTATCATAACTATTTCCAATGTAATGTTTTATTTAATGAATAATGTATTTCATAAAATATTAATGCAATGTAGTTTTAGTTAAGTTATACTACCTCCTGTTCATTATAAATGTCGTTTTGACTTTTGTGATTCATCCATTTTATTATGTATCTAGACATTAATATGTCTAGATACATGACAAAATGGATGAATCAAAAAAGTCAAAACGACATTTATAATGAATAGGAGGGAGTATTATTTAATATAAGTCTCAAACCAAATGCAAGTTTTGTACAGTGGAATTTTGAACTTCAGAGTATTTATCTTGTTGTGTTTCCAGTTTTGAAATAATTCAAGACTATGAATTATGAAATACAATTACATAGGCATCAATCGATTTTAATTTGGTTAGTTAGGGTGGTTGACACATTTTATAGCGTATATACAACAATACAAAAGTAACTTTCTTTAGTACAATTGAACTGAGTTCCGTTGCTCCTCGTTTTTAGAACACTTTTCCCATTGCTCAATTTCAATACAAAAGTAATAAAGATATACATGCATACTACATAATAATACAAGAATCTAAAAAAAGGGTTTTACTATCGGTTTATGGAGCAATCTATTGTCATTCACAAATAATGTATTGTCACGTATTCTGTAATAAATACATATTAGACATATATAAATACATAATGTTTTTAATACATTGGACATGTTATGTACATCCGATGGCTCCATAGAATTACCATTTAATAAAATACTCAAACTTTACTGCAAATCGGTGAATAAATTTTCAAAATGATCATATCATGCCATGCAGGCAGGCTTTGCCATAATATGATAATCACTTTCACAACCCTGTCATACTTTCGAGCATAATTTTAATAATATAATTTTATAACTTTTGTCATTATTACTCCTCTGTGGAAAACCCTTCCCCCAAATCTTCGAAGCTCGCCTCCCAAATTTCGTTCTGGTTGCCTTCCTCTGTAGCGGCTTAGCTCGGCCAAGGGTCATCCTTGACCGCTTGGCCCACTCCCGATGCAGCGTGCTTTCGATATGGCTGCGGATTGCGTGGGGTACGGAGGTCTGGTCTGTGGTCGCGGTTTGGGTCTCGGTGGGAGATGGCGCTTTGCTCGGCCGACATTCAGCGGACGATTGGAGGCGCCTTCTTCGATTGTCGGTGGTGCTCTGGTTCGCGGTGTTTTGCCCCTCCTAGGGTCCTCCTCTGTGGCTGCGGGGCTCTCACCTGTTCGGGTGGGGTTTGCCGCGTCTCCGGCAACTTATGGTGGTGTCGGGTGGTGCGGGAGCCGTTGAGTGTGGTGGGATCCCGCTTGCAGTGCAACCGAGGTTGAGGGCTCGGGCCAATCACGCTTATCCTTGGTCGGCTGGTGGTGTTAGGCGGCGGGGGATTGGGCCCTATCGAGCTTGGCTAGTGGTGTCAGACGAGTTTGATGGGGCTGGCGTGGGGGCTTGTTTCGGGCTCTCTCGATTAGAGATGGGTCGATTCGGGATTGTCTCGGGGGTTGAGGGCACCTGCTGTATAGGCATTCGTGGAGTTTCGGTAGCGGTTCTCGGGCTCGAGGTTTTCGTCGTGTCGGTAGTTCATTGCTGATTGAGCTTAGTTCAGTTCGGAGGGGAAGGGCTCCGTTTTCGTTTATTGTTGTTGTATTTTTTTTTTTTCTTTGTTG